ATCGTTATTAACTTATATTCATAAGTAGTAAAAAGTCGCTAGTCACGATTGTGTTAAGTAAATCCTAGGCAAGAGTAACATGCGTATCCCACAGTTATGAATGCCTTGTCAATGCTTATGATTTCCATTGAACTTAATGATCTTTGATATGTGTCTCTATCATGCGTATTCCATAGTTAGGGTCCTTGATAAGAATAATTTGGTTGTAATGCGTATCCCATTCAATTCAATGAATCTAGGGAAATCTGAGAATTAATTGGTCAATCTAGTTAATTTGGGGCATTGTCATTCATGGTTTGTTGAAAGAGTAATTGGAGATCGAGTCGTATGCATATGTTTCATGTGTGGAGAAGGAACCCTCTAGCTAGCCTTTCCCCATTCTATTTCATCAAAATCGTTTTCATTAAAGTTTGTTTTCAAAGTTTCTGTTTTCAAAGTTAAATTCGTCCAAAATCAATCCCCATTTACTTAGTTGAGTCATAGTAGTTAGAAATCACTTTAGTTTATGTTTTTAAGTGTCTTAGGTCAAGATAAAACCAATTTTCGTCCAAGATTGAGTCTAGTGTTCAAAACTGCCCAGATTGTGGTTTTAAGGCAGTTTTGAGTGTTTTTGGGCTGTTTGAGTCTTTTGGTTTGTTTTGGTGTTTTAAAGTTTAGTTTTGCATTCTTTGAGTTTAGTTTAGTGTTTTAAACTTGTTTTTACGTATTTGAGTCTGTTTTCAAGTGATTTTGCAATCCCTCCTAATCCCCGGTTTAGAACGATCCCTACTTACATACTTTGCTACAATTGATAAAAAGAGGGTTAATTTGAGTGTCAACATAATTTTCACATCACAAGTCTACCAAAATTAAGCATAATGTGTACTATAACCTTGATCAAATAATTCATAAGCAGCCACAATGGTGATCAAACATTAAGATTAACAAACAAATTATATTATAAAATCAATGAACGAAACAAGAACACAAATTGGTAATTTGAATACTTTAACTTAATAACATCGAATTCCCCAGCTATGAACTTAATTACACATCATGATTTCAAAATATATAAATATCAAGAACAACATAAGTGAAATTAAAGTTCATAGAAGAAACCCCATTGAAGCAATTCTGATGTAGAACTTCTCCAAGAACAGTGCGGATGCGTGGTTTCTTCGATGGCAGGGGGATGATGAAGGGAAATAGGGTTTTGTTTCTAGAAGAAAGGCCAAAGAAAGAGAAGAGAGAGAGCTCTGGGCGACCCCAAGGGGGGCTTGTGTAAAAGTGATCTAAAACTTAGTATTTATATGCTAAATGGGGCTGCAGCTGATTGCAAGGTGATCCCAACCATTAAGCCAAAGTTTTGAACATTTTTTCTTATTTGGCACCTCCAAATCAGGCTAGATATCCCAATTTCTTTCCCATTTTGTTCCTGGTCTTCTAACAAGCCAGATTCGTCTTGGATTCTTTATTTGGGCTTCAAAACAGGCCATTAAACTTCTTTCCACGTTTGAATAATGGTCAACCCCAAAAATGGCATGTGTTTCACTTCTTTTGCCTTCAAATTAATCCTAAAGTACATATAATTGCGATTGACACAAAATAGGGTGAAACACAACTGGTTTTACTCCAAAACGTCACAAATAGACTTGGAATTGATGGTATAAATGCATGAAATATATGAGTTATCAACCCATGCACTCGTGAGTACAAAACTAATTTACAAAATTTATGAGAAATTGAAATTCAACCCAAGACTCAATATTTATTCAAGACACCCAACTAGGGGCATTTTGGTCATTTTACATTATTCAAGAATAAAATATATTATTTTAAGGTACGAGGTTGTATTAATTTATGAATTGTTTTCTAAATGTGATTGATTGACTTTTATTTACATATGTCGTACTATTGTCACTCACACGAGTTTCACAGCTTTTTTGAATTTTTACTTTTTTAGATACACCATTCCAATCGTGTAGGGTTATTTCTTAAAGAGTAAATGTAGTAGTTAGAGAAGAGGATATAAAGGGTATAGTGGTGTGTGCAGTGCATTCGAGAGTATGATTTGTTCCTTTTTATTGTAATTTTGTTTCCGCTGAATATCTGATGTATATAATGTATGAGTCACAAATGACTATATTGTACCGCTACTTTCTACTGCCACGTGTTGATCCTAGGTGTATCTCGGGAACTTTTGCTGGTGTTAAAGCATTGGTCTTCGAACCTTTGCATTTCAGCGGACGCTGATACAAGAAATTTTTCATAGTGACCAGAACACGGGTGGTACACCACGTGTTTTTATATAAGTGGTGAGAAATTGTACTTTTTAAGTTATCAACTTTTTAACACACATATCTCACCATTTGTATAGTGACACGTGGTGTACTACCACATGTTCCGGTTACATTGAAAAATCTCTCCACTGATACATGTTGTGGATCCTAAAATAATCTCAAAAATTCTAGAGGCGACACGTAGACTTTTGTTCAAGAAAGACAAGATTGCCCTCAATAAATGGGCAGCCTTTTCAGATACTCCCACGGGCAGCTCACACCCTTGAAGGTCCCAGCAGCTAAATACGACTGCCCACAGCTCACGTGCCATTGGCAAGGAAAAGTCAAAGCATTAAAGATAAAGATTAATTACCTAAATCCTATCTTTAATGCATTCCCAATTGAAGATTGACTTCAATCAAGTAAGTAATGTCAATTTAAATAAATTAGGGATAATTACTTCATTATCTCAAGATATTATTTCCTATTTAATATCTTGAGAATATTTAGAGAATATTTCTCCACAAAACACTTGGCCAATAGGATGCCGCCATGTGATGGGTAAAACCCTAACACTATGGCTGGCCTTATCCCTATAAATACCCCATATTCTACCAAATTTCAGAAGCTTTGGCTACCCTAAAAAAGCCCTAAAAACTTTATTCTCCTGAGAGTGACTTAGGCATTGAAGATCCATTGGCCTAACACCCCCCCCCCACCACACCTCGTGGGTGCATGAGGCTTAGGTCTTTGATCAAATGTGTTAATTATTTTGTAGCTGCATTTTCATCAAGACTGAAGACGGTGAAAATTTGCATCGACACATGCCTTGTTGTATTAGATATGTCACGACCTAAAATTTGGACTCACGTGGCCTAGAGTGAGAGACAAGCTAATCTAGTCTATAAGAAATTACGTGTGTAGTTAAGACTTTACGCAAGCAGTTATCTTAAATTGTTTGCATTAAGTGATGAATACTACTTTTGTCATCTTCTAGTTTCTTGTGTTTTCACTAGCAAGTTGTGTGCCTTTGAAGTCGAGGCCCCTTGTGTTTTTCTCATAACCCTAATGAAAAGTTTCTTCAGTTTTGTTCCTCAGAGCAAGGAGAGAAAAACTTGTGAGAACCCGAATTTTTATTAATTATTCAGTAATGCAACTTATATGATTTAACTTGCTAAATTTATATGGTTAAATAAGTATGTAAATTGGTTTTATATGTTTGGGACTCATTAAGTATATATTATTATTCAAAATCCTTGTTGGTAAAGGTACTTGATTAGTTTGGCAGTGACATGAAGTTACGTTATATAGCTTTGGGACCAAACTAATTATAATAATAGGGAGATTATTAAATAATAGAGTTGTAGTAAAAAAAAAATAGTAATTTGACTTGGTTATCTTTAATGAATGTTTTATGGATACAAAGAACCAAATTAGTAGTGGAACATGCCAATTTCTAAGATGTAACACTAGAAAAAGAGAAACACCTGTCTCTAAAATATTTTGATTCATCATAAATTTTTATTTGTCACAACATTGCTTATTTTTTTGGACATATTGACAATCATTACTATGTGGAGGCAAGTTTCTTAAGACAAGAATCTTTTTTTACTACACGGAGGTTATTCCTTTATAAAGTATCACTACAAAGAGGTTTGACTGTATTAGGTCATGGAGTTTATGTCAAGCCCCTAATGAGATTTCCAAAGTTCATATGATTCGTATTAAATATAATTTAAGACTCTATAATGTTAATTATATCCAATACCCTGCACAGAAATTCTTGAATCATCAGGTATTCTCCTTCTTACCAGAGGTAATAATAAGTATGCTTTAGGGTAGAATAATTCTCGTTGGTTTACTCTTCCCTCAAAGGTGGTTTATATACTGCTTTCTGATACAAAGTCAACTTTTGGTAATAATTACGATTCCTGAATCCTATCTAATACGTTTAACATTCAACTACAAGGAATTACAATAATTACACAAATCTCTTTTAATGACACCATTATTCAAGCCAATTGAGATTTCTTGTTGTACACTCACATGCATCTATAAATAAGTCTAAGACCCTAATAATGCGTGGAACAAACCCTAGGGTTACGACACATTGTTAAATGATCAAAGACATCTTCATAAGACAAATGTGGTGCCTCAAGTCTAAGGACTAATTGCATTGTTGCGACATTAGAGTTTCTTATTTAACATGTCAGTAGAAATTTCCAAATAAGAACTCTCATTAGATCACATTCAATAAACTCATTTTCTATTAAGCACCTACGTACTCGTCTTGGTGTCTTTTTTCACACTAATGACTCAAGATGTCATTCTCTCAAGAGAGAAGGCATAGTATGTATTGATCTTAACGGATCGTCAATGCCCAATTAGTAATCCTATAACCATGAACATCTAGGATATATGTATGAGAGAGAAAAGTCTCATATATCTAACTTCTTTAGATTACAATCTCTCTATTAGACATTCCTTAGACTTTATTGTGCAAACGTATAATTATTTATGAGACATTTGCATACAATATTTATTGCCATTTGACTAAACTAAATAGTTTAATATAGACAATGTGTGTAACATATCAGTCTTGTGATTGAATTTTAGGGCACTTCCAACGATATTTACCCAAAAATCATTCTTACTCCCAAAAAAATAACCGCAAAAAGCTATGGACTGTCAAATGCTCTTTTGATTCTTGGACCTAGAATTTACAATTTGACTCCCTAGAAAAGTTGAACAGTTTCAGTTTTCTTTTTATTTGAAAACTGAAATCAGTACCAGAAGAAAAACCTTCACATACCGAAGAAAAAAGATGGAAATGAAAAACAAGCATATGCATGTTGTAAACAACAATTTGGTTCCCTTAAGAGGGAAGGAAAACTGGAAGCTTTACATACACACAGATTATTAATTCTTGTGATACGTTGTACAATCTCACTATCTCTTTAAGGCAAGTATTAAAAACAAAGCGTCTCTTCTTCTGTTTTTACGACTAATCAACCTAGAAGGCACAATTGTGGTAGCTACATATATATGTCTATATATGGAGTATGAAAGTTCCTTCTACGTATGAGGAAAACAAATTTATTCCAATTTTGTATTTGAAATTGTTACGTGTGAGGATGATGGTTCAAGTGCTTGACCCCATGATCGTCTAACTTGTGTTGTTGTGTTCGTAACGTGTCCTTTGGGTGGATTCGTTCCATTGTGGCTAGAACATCAATCATGAGTGGCCTATATTTTGGGTCTGTATGGAAGCACTGTAAAGCAAGTTCAGCTGCAGCTTGGGCTGCTTTCTTCGAGTATTGACCCCCCAACCTTGTGTCCATGATTCTTAAAACTCGTCTACTATCACTTATGAATGGCTTTGCCCAATCCACCAATGTTTCCTCGACACTCCCAGCTCTCTCATCGTCCATTGCTCGTCTCCCTGATAGAAGCTCTAACAAAACAACCCCGAAGCTGTACACATCACTCTTTGGCGACAAGTGACCTGCTCATTTTTAACCATATAATGAACAAAATGTCCTTTAGTAGATGCACTAGTTTCCACACAATACATGATGTTTGAATAGTTATAAGTTAGAGGATCACTTATTTATAATGTCTTTCAGTTCCACCCGCATCCCAGACACTTATTCTCTAGTTTCCTTTTGTTTGTTCTAATTTTTGTTGTCAAAGAACCTTCTAACTATATATAAACGTTTTACTTTGCATGTAATCCGTTAGTAATTAGTGAAATAAGTCAGCGTATGATCGAGTCAATCATCAATTTTATTTACTTTTTAAAATGATGCTAAGATTACATTTTCTTTCTTCCTTCTTTTCTTTCTGTAGCTGAATTTTTGTTTGCGGGTGTTCCTTTTTCCAGGATTACCAGTAAAAATATCACAGATGCTATGCAATTGAAAGACAAGACTGACCTGTAGCAACATATTCTGGTGCAGCGTAGCCTCGAGTTCCGACCACTCTGGTTGAAACATGAGTATTATCTCCAGTAGGACCATCTCTTGCTAACCCAAAATCTGAAAGCCGAGCACTGAAATCCTGCATAAATTAGATTAAATTTCTGTTAGGCTTGTGATTACAAGTGGCGCAATCGTTCTCAAACTGGAGCTTTTGATGTGCAAGCATACCGAATCAAGTAGAATGTTGGAAGCTTTCAAGTCACGGTAGATGACATTAGCATCTAAACTATGTAAGAAAGATAACCCCCGTGCAACATCAATTGCAATATTCATCCGAACAGCCCAAGTGATGGGTTGAACACCTTCTGCAGAAGAACAAAGAACAACAAGGAAATGATTCAGGAACTTTAAAAAAATGTATATTTGATAAATGTTTCATTTTTGGCAAGTGTTGAAATATACGTTTTCATGAACAGATCAAGGAATAGACAAATTAAAGGGATCAAACCACAGTAAACATAAAGCAGAAACCACAGAGGAACGCTAATATGCGGATTATCTAACCATCCTAGATGCTAAAAGCACAGCAGTCCAATTGCCAAACAAGTCCCATGACTAAGAAACCAAAAAATAGATCAAAATATCTGCATTTTCTATCACTAAGAAACCAAAAAAATGTCTCTTTACTGTGGCTACCAATCAATATGTTCAGCAAACAAGTTCCCGAGCTCTAGCCCATTACATGGTCATGGTTAAACAATGGACAGCAGGACACCTAATCAGCCTAAGAACTTCTATAAATATGTCATCAAGGTAAATAAATATGTTCCAGATACTATTTTCTTTACAAAGGATGCTACCCCGCTAACAAATCCAGTGAAAACTTCCACTATTTTTGTTATTAAAACTCAAGAGTTAACTGGATGGATGTTAAATCGAGATTCAGTATACATTCGTAAAAAAAAAACATTTGAAACAACATAATACCAGAGAAAGCTCAAAGTTATAAATGGAAGAACGATTCTCAAAATGCTGAGTTAGTCGACTGCAGGTTAAATTAAGATTTCAGTATTTCACAAGCATAAGCAGTGGGGCATCTAATTTAAAATAGTATAAGCTCCCTCGCAGTAGTAGCAGCCATCGTCGATTGATATCGATCCAAATTCAACATCTTACAACACAAAAATTTTAGTCCTTTTCCTGGTTAATTATTGCGATCATTTGTTTGAAACAATAATTAAATTTTAAGCAGGTAACAAATTAATAAATATATCTATCTATATGTACGATTACCAAGTAACACACTTACTTGCAAATTGGTAAGAAGAAACAACATGAATAATTGAAAATTTGAAATACATAGGGAAAAGGATACTCGTACTCACTTCTAAACAAATGATTCTCCAAACTTCCCCTTGGCATGAACTCATAAACCAGAAGTCTGTTGTCAGATTCTGAGCAATACCCTATGAGTTTCACAAGATTTTCATGGCGAAGCTGACCAAGATAGTTCACTTCTGCCTAAATGGTTGAAAAAAAAAAAAGATTTGAGCTTCAGATGAGGAATAGCAAGATCAAAATGAAAATAATTACCAGAAAAAAGGGTCAAAATGAAAACAAGACAAAAAAAATAAAAAAAAAGGTCCTGGTTGTACATACAAGCCATTCCTTGTGGCCTTGAAAGCTTTCTCGCTTGAGCCTCTTGATGGCCACCACTAACCCAGTTCCAGGTTTAGTGGGAGCTAATGTGTTTGCATCAATCCATCCTTTATATACCCACCCAAACCCTCCCTCTCCGAGCAGACTCTCTGGGCGGAAGTTCCTAGTAGCATTTTTGAGATCACTGAAACTGAAGGACTTGAGGTTGGTAGGGACGGATATATCAGCTTTGGATGCTACTAAAGCTTGATTCAAATTCCCAGACGTTGACTGCTGCGAGCAAGAGCTACTATCCATCTGTTGCTTGCCATTAGACTTTGTACTTCCTAAAAGGTGAAAGGGGTAAGAAAGCTACAAAAATATCACCTTCAAATTTCTCTGCATGAAAAATAGCGATAAACTTAAACAAATAAATAGACAAATGACCACAGTGAAGTGCACCCATATGAATATTAATAAGCTCTTCAGACTGCAGTCCAAACAAAAACAGACAATATGCAGAACAGTTAAAGATTACTGAAACTACATTTATCAAGAAAACAAATAAGTATAAGAGCTTAGACTACACATCAACACATGTCAAGGCCTTTTCAGTACTGCCATCAGAAACAGTCAGTGCTGATTAGTTGGTAATTAAGACTATGAGACCATGATTTGTAGGATCAGATGATCAGATCATATGTTCAAGATACCCAGGAAAAGTACAAAATAATCTCACATGGACATCTCATAAAGAGGAATGATTATTGGCCAGACCTGATAGGCCCAAATGGCTCGATAATAGACCCCTCCTCTCGGCCTTAGAAGAATAAAAGAATCCCAGACTCGCCTTAACTAATAGGAGATGGGACTATAACAGAAAAGAAGGAAATAAGAATAGAGAAATGTATAAAAAGATAAGGATAATATGATCAATTGAAGTCATGGCTCCCTTGAAACATTTCTTGATAGGGTGGTTAAAGCATTTATTAGTCATATGGTAATATAACAAAGAGAAATGTAGTGTCGATTACGTTTGTCATGGGTATAAATGTTTGGGGAAGGGAAGTGACTTCCACACTCCTTTTTTCTCCACCTGCACGACCTATAAACATATTAAACAAAAAAAAACAGGGGTGTGTAGAAGGAGAAAGGGTGTGCCGAAATCAGTTCTCTTTGGGGAATGCTAGCAACTTTCTCTCTAACCTCCCCATGCCATGTGTCCTTTCTTTTACAAACATGAGAAGAGGGAGAAGGGAGAAGGGAGAATGTCCAAATGACAAGGTCAGAGAATGTTTCACATTCCCCTAAATGTTTAGCAGATATAAAATAATACAAACACGGCTGTATCACATTATCTTAAATACTTCAAAAAGAAAAACACACAGAACAGTATAGGTGCTGCCTTGCTGTGCTGGTACAACCGTTAGATTCATAAGCATGGTAAAAAGATCATCTTTATACAAGAAAAGGACGAAAGAAAATCTTTAAAAACCCATTTTATGTTATATACAAATGGTATTGAGGAGGGGTAAACTGAATACACAACGTCGAGTGTGGGGTGGGAATTATCGTAACCATTTGAGCTAAAAGTGCATTCCAACAGTTGATGCGCATAGGTTTCTTGAAATTTATAGAGATGATACCTAGGATCTCTTGAAAATTGTAAACAGCAGATAATCACGCAGCATCAAATTCAGATTGGAAGGAAGAAGAGGGAAGCAAGCAAACAGAAAAACACCCAAGAAAATATGAGAGAAGTTAGCGGCATGGCATATAGATACTGTTATAGTTTGTAGCTGTAGAGTAGTAGGATACCAGAGAAGTTGATGGAAGAAGCATGAGCACACTTGGTAGATTTTCTGCAGCAGTTTCCCATCATCGATTAAGCTAGAACGATACATCAATCAATCATGTACGTCTACTTGTAGCAGCAGCAGGCATCCATCAGGTAAGGAGGAGGAGGAGGAGGGCTGGCAAATAAGGGAAAGAAAGAAACGTGCAGGCAAGAGAGAGAGAGAGAGAGAGAGAAGAAAGGTCTTCCATTGACATTTGACATTTGACATTTGACATTAGACATTTATGACACTTTGAAACTAAGCAGAAGAACAAGTATCTGCTTAGTCAATGGAAGAATTCAGAAAATATTGGCCGGATGAATCACTTGTGTGGAAAAGTATTTTTAAAGATAATAATAATAATATTGGTCCCACATCCATCTCCATATGAATCTGGTTTTGAAGATACAGAGCATGTGTTTCATGTTAAACTGCTACATCACCACAGCACACACTCACGGCACACTGGATTTAAAACTTCAAACTTAAAACTTAAAACTTGAACTACAAAACACATTTTAATAAACATTCTATAAACGAAACTCGACCATCACCCGTGCATTTCATTCATACGCATTGAATTGAGCAAGAAAAATGCATACTTGCACAAGAAAAATAAAAAGAACCAACTCCTCCCCCAGATTTGAAAGATGTCAATTGCCAAGCCTCCTCCAACTCCAAGCAGCAGATTATCTGATATCAAATCAAAACCCTAATTTCTTGGACCCCTAAATCCCTAAAATTCATTAATATCAGAAATTCATAGTGTAATTGACTAGGTAAAAGAAGAGGCTCCAGAGGAATGAAGACGAGGATTGATTAACTGTTTATTTGACAAAATATGATAGTTGTATGATATTAAAAAAAGCTTATTATATGAACACCCCACAAATTGTTGAATAAATCCCATATACTTAATACACCCCACATTTTCTTTTTTAATTAAAAATTATCTTAATACACCCCACATACTTCCCCATAATACCCTCACACCCCACATTCTTAATATACACCTTACATTTTCTATATGCACCCCATATTTTCTATACACCCCACATTTCTCAAATCTTACAAAACTTTTAATTTGGACAAATAATGCCGACTAAAAGTTTGACAAAAGATGCCGCCTGGGATTTAAAGCATATGTGGGTTGTTTTTAATTCCACCATTATGACTCATGTCATCTGTTTTTAATATTTGGTGGTAATTTTAGGTGTTTAATTCTTCATGTAATCCATGTGATCCCTAAAAGATGAATACGAACATAGAAGCTTGAATAAAGCATCAAAAGCAAAGATTAAATAATTATTAATATTGTCAAAATCACTAAAACAATAAATAATATGAAGTCTACCGTATGTAAAGCTTCTGAAACATCGATTTCGTGTTTCATTCGTTAAAAATAATTTTTCTCAATCAACATGTTTGTAGTTTCATTGGTTAGGGTTTTGTTCAACAATGGAGGGTCGGATGAGTTTTGATAGTTGAAGAAGATAAATAATACGTTAAAAATGATTTGGGGTGTATATAGAATTTTTTACTTTTTTTTTTAACCTAACAAGGTCAAAACTGTCATTGCATAGTATGATAAATAAGTTATTTAATATTAAATTTTAATATGGGATGCATTCAACATTTTATGGGGTGCTAATATAAAAAGCCTTAAAAAATTACTTATTGAAATATTTTAGAGATGTTGGAGGAAGTTGTATTTGCATCCAAACCTAAGGGTGCAAATTGTAATTTACCCTTTATTAAATAGTTAAAAATTTAGGTATATTCAATTAGAATTTTTTTTAAACGAAAATTATAACAAGGGGTGGGGGAGTGGGCTATGTCTTACATTGGGTTAGCACTAATGTGATTGAAATTCGTTTTTGGCGAGAATTGAACCTAAGTTCTTTCACTTATAAGTGAAGAAGAATATCACTAGACCGCAGTTCTAAGTTGTTTTAATATTATGCGAGTGGGTTTGGGTTTTCATGGGTTGGGTTTTTATAAACCAACGTTGGTTACACAACGTTAAGGACAATCAAAATCACATGGGTTGTTAAGGACAATGCCCACATCATGAGACCAATATTAGCAGATTAATGTTGCTTGACTTCTTTATTTTTTTTTTGTTTGTTGACTGACCAATGCATATTTCTTTTAATTGTCTCTTTTTGTTGACATGGTGCCACTAACCAAAGACATTTGCATTAAAAAGGATATGTGTCGTATGCAAGTTTATATAATCGGTTTTAAAAGATGTATTTGAATGCATGATGATTTGGTGTTCAAATAATTTAGTATTCGAAACCGTAAAACAGCAAGAACCAAATCGGAATCGGTGTAGACCGAACCGTACAGTTCTAGTAATAAATTTAAGCGGAACCTCACCGAACCGAATTGTTAATATTTTTCGGTTCCGGTTTCGATTTAGGGGTGGAATTGCACCGTGACCACCCTTAACAATGCTTGCTCCTCCTTTCTCTGTTCACCTTTTATCCAACTCTCTCTTTGCTCAACCATTTTTTAGGCTTTTAGAAAAATCTGTGTCTATTGTGTTGTGAGAATAAACTGTTGTAACATAAAATTGTTAAATGTTTGGTAAACTTCTTTTGTAAAAAGGCTTTTAACAAAAAATAAAAATAAAAATTACCCTCAAGGAATACCGGAACTCCTACGCGCGATTAGTGGACAATCATCCATCAATCAAGTTAAAGGTACCCAAAATAGGTATTTATTCAAAACCTATTTCATTCATCCTCATCAAATCTTCTCCACAAGGTAACCCCCAAAACATTCTTTTCAAATTATATTAATTAGCTAATTAATTGATTTATTACCTAATTAATCTATTAATTGGCTAATTAACTACAAATTACACCCAAAAATGCCACAAAGAGCCGGTCACCATCTCTCCAAAAGGGGGTTGGCCATGCCTTATATACTACCCCATTTTCTTTAAAAACCGAAGTTCTACACTCTTGCAAAATTCTCAAAATTCTCTAAACATTTTTCTCTTGAAATTCTAACTTTGGCATCGGAGGTTCTTCGGCCAAAGCCCCCCATTCATCGTGGGCACATGAGGCTCTTGGCCTTGACCTAAGGTGTTATTTGTTTTGTATGTACAATTTTGTCCAATAACAAGGAGGAAGAAATTTGCATCCACAAATTGGTGCTTTCGATTGTGCGATTTCCAGCACAACGAAGCTACTGACAAGGTGCTCAGATGAGACATGACCAACATAAGCGGGTCATCTTTCACTGACAAGATTGAGCAGACAAGACTATCCACATAGATTTTCGAATACAAAGATTACTTCTGTTCCAACAAATGTAGTAGCTCAGCATAATGGCGCTCTTTGGGGGCAAATGAGTACCAAAATGACACACTAGCCCAACTACCAAGAATCAGGGGCAGACTTTGTTCTCAACACTCCAGATGATTTAATACTGAAGCAGCACATCACCAGTAGCCGAGTATCACGGACCTAATGGTTTAATTCCTCCTGCTGCGCATAACCTGGCCCAAGCCAGCCCCAACTATGCTTTCACAACCGTACCTACCTGCTCCCGACAGCCATTAATCTATCAACATGGCTCATAATTGTGCCAATCTTGCACCACGGCTCCCAGTTGTGCCGATCTTGCCATGTGGCTCCCCAACACCCATCTGGGTAAGCTTTCCAGTGCGAGATGGTAAACTAATTGCTCTCCAGTGCAAGAGGGTAAACTAATTCCCCGACACATATATGGGTCCGCTCTCCAATGCAAGAGGATAACTTGTTATTCAGTGCGAGAGGGTAAACCAATCCCCCGACACCTATATGGGTAAGCTCTTCACTACGAGAGGATAAACTAATTGCTCTTCAGTGCGAGAGGGTAAACCAATTCCCCGACACCTATGTGGGTAATCTCTTCAGTGCGAAAGGGGTAAACTAATTGCTCTCCAATGCGAGAGGGTAAACCAATTATCCGACACCCATATGGCTAAGCTCTCTGGCGTGAAAGTGTAAACTAATTGCTCTCCAGTGCAAGAGGGTAAACTAATTGCTCTCCAGTGTAAGAGGGTAAACTAATTGTTTTTCAGTGCGAGAGGGTAAACCAATTGCTCTCCAGTGCGAGAGAGTAAACTAATTACTCTCCAGTACGAGAGGGTAAACTAATTCCTCGACACCCATCTGGGTAAGCTCTTCAGTGCGAGAAGGTCATATAGCTCAAAAGATCGATGCTTGAAGACTAACTAGGCAGTGAATGGTCAGAGGGCAGTAACCACTTTGCACTCAATAGTTCGCTCATCTACACTTCATCTTCAGCAGCTCCATCATTGGCTGTTCCATTTACGGCAATTGAGAAATCCAACTCAAGCAGTTTCCTCATTTTTGGGAAGCAGCCCAAACATTGGTCCATGCCATGCCACTTCCTTGACCCATGCCGAGCCAATCCTTAGCTTCAGTCAAGTCGAGCAACACAAGTAATGGCCCATGCCACACCACCTCCTTGGCTCATGCCAAACCAACTCTTGGCCCATACCAGTTGATGTGCCACACCACCCTGATGGCTGCCCCATGGCAGCACCACCCAAGAAGAAGACAAGGAGAATTAAGTTTTTCTTATATCGGTGCGGTGCGGAAAAGACAAAGAAATCAACTGAAGACGGTTCTTTGAAAGCAAACAAATAAGAGTGTTAGGGAAGGGGGAACAAATATCCTCTAGTTTTCTCTCTTTCTTGTAAGGATAAATAATTGCCCTCCAAAGTTGATGCTAGGGAAGGGGGAACAAATATCCTCTAGTTTTCTCTCTTTCTTGTAGGGATAAATAATTACCCTCTGAAGTTGATTTAATCCCCTACTTAAGGTAGGCTTAAATAGGCTTTGGAGGCAATTTATTTCCCTTTCCTAGAAGAATCTAAATCCAAGTCCAAGTGAGAATTTGCATCAAAGTTGGAGATGTCTACACCTGCTGCCCTTTCTTGTGAGCAGTCCAACAGGTGTGGGGGGGCATTTGTGGAGCAAAAAATAATCAAGAAAAATATGGAGGCGATAAGTGGATTCTAGGGTAAAAATGACAAAATTACCCTCAAGGAACACCGGAACTCCTACGCGCGAGTAATGGACAATCATTCATCAATCAAGTCAAAAGTGCCCAAAATATATATTTATTCAAAACCTATTTCATCCATCCTCATCAAATCTTCTCCACAAGGTAACCCCAAAACATTCCTTTCAAATTATATTAATTAGCTAATTAATTGATTTATTACCTAATTAATCTATTAATTGGCTAATTAACTACAAATTACACCAAAAAATGCCATAAAGGGTCGGTCACCATCTCTCCAAAAGGGGCCGGCCATGCTTTATATACACTACCCCATTTTCTCTAAAAACCGAAGTTCTACACTCTTGCAAAATTCTCCAAATATTTTTCTCTCGAAATTCTAACTTTGGCATCGGAAGTTCTTCGACCAAAGCCCCCCGTCAAAAATCATCGTGGGCGCATTGAGGCTTTTAGCCTTTGACCTAAGGTGTTATCTGTTTTGTAAGTGCAATTTTGTCCAAGAACAAGGAGGAAGAAGTTTGCATCCACAATAGTTTTTTTGAAAGTATGGTAGACCCTATTCCTACTTTTCTATTGATATTGGGATCAGTTTTTTAAAAACTTTTTTTTTTTTTGTTTTACCAAAGACATTTGGTGTTCCAGGTTTTTTAATAAGCTTCTTTTTTATATAGAAGCACCACAACCCCAAACCAGCCTTAAAAGTTCAAAACCAAAAAACTTACAGGTTTGTCAATGCTACTCTCAACTCCATTACTGTCGGCGATACCAGCCTAGCATAAAGAATGTTTGGAGACAGGATTAGCAATACCATACTTTTCAGGAGGTCTCGTTAAGACCACTTATCGAAGCACATAGTCCATACGAGTCTGATTTAGTTTCATTAAAGTTAGTCCTTGCTCGCACCAAACACGGACTAGTAATTCTAATTAAACCAGTTCAGTCTAGTGAAGGGCAAATAAACGAGCCCTAAAAAGAGGGTTAAGCTTCCAACCAACCAACGTTTTTTGGATTAACAAATTTTTTCTAAAGATATTATGAATGCCCAAACATTTTTGTATAAACAGTTTTTTTGTTGGATTTGCAAAATGCTAATGGTATCTAGCTTATGAGCAGGGCCGTCTCTGACATTTTGGGGGCCCTGTGCGAATTTAATAAAAAGGCCCTCCTTATTTAAAAAAAAAAAAAAGTTGTTGGACAATATCCATACAAAGCTCAACAATCAATATCCAAACTTAATTAAAATCAGCATCCCTCTTACTAATTGAATAATCTCCAAAATAAAGTCATGATTTTGGGTTCATCTATAAAAAAAATGGAGCACAGCTGAAATAGAGATATGAAAATACGTTTGTATTTGTGGAAGAAAGTAATACACAAATTATTTTTATTGCTTAATAGAAAAGTGAAAGAAAGTAGTACACAAGTATTTTATTGTTAAAAAATAAGAAAAAAAATTAATATATTAAATTCAAGCTCCGCTTAACCAATTGTAATAGTGATGATTTTTCTTTTCAGCTTAAAACTTTTTTTATTAGAAATTTATACTCATGTATAATATAAAGAAGGATCAAAAAATTTGGGATCCGTAAAAATCCAGAGCCTTGTGCCACTGCACTTTTTGCACACCCCAACACCCCTCTGTCTATGAGTATTGCTACGATTATGAGCCGAATAAAAAAGAGTTAACGAAAATTCATCATTTTGGCTAGTTGCCTCTTCAAAATTTCTTTCTAAATACATTTTCAAAATCAAAAGGACTAATTTGTCGGCATCAGAATGTTCTGACCTTTGAATGGATTTCTCAATTCAACATAGAGCGATGTCCTCTTCCCCGATAATTTAGGAGTCATTTTCTATTTCGATAGGGTTTTTTTTTTAATTTCAACTTTGATAGTTACCTAACAACAAAAAACTAAAAAAAAATTAAAATCACCCATTGAAAAATCCTCTTTCTCCTCTATAATTTAGGAGTCATTTTCTATTTATTTAGTTTCGAAAAATCACCCATTGAATGCCCCTAATGCGGAAGAACGAACCCTCTTTCTCCTCGATCTCTCTCTACTCTGCTCTGATTTCAGTCGCTCCTGAATCCTGAGCGCTTTGAAAACCCAAAATTCCATCTTGGTTCTGATCAGTCATGGCCTCCGGTATATCTCTCTCTCTTTCATCGCAAAAGTCGTTCTTGTGATTAGGGATTTTAAAGAGTATTGACGGAAGTGAGTGAATGCCGCATTCTCTATGTATAATGGCATTGCGTCTTGTTTATGTGTTTGTATGCAGATGCTGATATGGAGGATTACGGATTCGAGTATTCGGATGAGGAGCCTGAGGAACAAGATGTCGACATTGAGAACCAATATTACAACTCTAAAGGTACGACTAGGTTTTCAGTTTTTACTCAGCCTTTTATATGGTTTTATTTTCCCAACTTCAACAAAAAAAATTCAGGTTTGGTTGAGACAGACCCAGAAGGAGCACTTAGTTCGCATGGAGCCTGAGAAGGCCGAGTGGTGAGTAACGTGATAATTTTGTGCTCTAAAATGTCAATGAGTTTTAGCAACCCCTAGAAATTTAAATTGTCCCTTTGCTATTTGTGCTTTCCGTTTGCTGTATGTTTAGAGTGAAGGAGAAGGAGACGTTAATATGAGTTAGGATTCAGTGAGAAATCAGCATAATCTTGAGTGTCTGGGCGAGAAGGAGAAGTGAGCTCCTTATTGATTGTATCAATCCGCTGAGTGTCTTAATGATTTGTGTTTCTTGTGTTCTCTTCTGGTATTTTTTCACAATACCCTCACCATTCAATTTGTGTTTCTTGTGTCTTAATGAGTGTCTTGGCTTTCCTACTAAATTCAGTGGTTGGATTTTTGTTTTATTTGTTTAAGTTGGTGGAAGTTTGTGGGGGGTAATAGGCAGAGGGTCCGATTTCAGAGGTTACTTGGCTGGGGGTAGCTCCCTGCAGATGCTGATTCCTAGTTTACATTACTTTCTAGAAATCACCAAGAATGTTTTTGGTTTTATTGCTCCCACATCCTCATATCTACACTTGTCAGGCCAACTCTGTTTTTTGGCTGTATTGCAAGGTGTGTGGATTCTGTGTATTTTCCTTATAATTTGAAGGTTGGTGGTAATCTACAGTTGGAAGGTGAAGAGTTTTTTTTTTTTTCACTGTTAGGAGGGTTGGAGAGGGCTTGCCGGTTCCTTTCAGAACATATATAGTGAGTTGAAATTTTGATGGGTCAGGTGGTTTACATTCAAATCTTATGGTAGCTTCTTTTGCAAAAGATTGGCTTCCTTTAGTTTTGCGCTTAGTTTAGTATTAGCAATTTGTTGGTTAACTTTTTATGGTAAACAATCTGGTGGTTATTTTTTTGGAGCATAAATGGAGAATTTTTTAGGATTTCAAAAGGGTTTGTTTGGAAGATCTTTGGGATTGAGTTAGATTTGGTCAGCGTTGTTGCATCCGTTTGTATGTTCTGTTAGATTTCCTAGCTGTTATGGCATAATGTTTTTAAGTAGTTATTTATTTATTTATTTTAGAGGTCGCACTTGGTGCGATGGCAAGTGCCTTCGCCCATGAGCGGTAGGTCTCGGGTTCGAGACTTGGGAGCAGCCTCTCCATAAATGGAGGTAAGGCTAGCCGACATTCACCTCTCCCAGACCCTGCGTAAAGCGGGAGCCTTGTGCACTGGGTACGACCTTTTATTTATTTATTTATTTTATTTTGTGCTATCAGGCCTTTAGGGTGTTTTGGTTTTATTGTTTCTTATTGTAATTTTTATGTGAATGCGTGTTTAACGTTTATTTTACATAGCTTTTGTTATTAATGTCGTTTCTTCTTGTTGTTCTTGTTATAATTAATAATAATTGTTGTAATAATAATAATTAATATGTTACAGGGGATTTAAAGCTTTGAAGCAAACCGTGAAGCTCTATTATCGTCTGGGGAGGTATAAAGAAATGATGGATGCATACAGGGTGATGTTGACTTACATCAAATCAGCAGTAACAAGAAATTACAGTGAAAAGTGTATAAACAATATTATGGATTTTGTTTCTGGTTCAGCTAGTCAGAACTTTAGTCTACTGCAAGAGTTCTATCAGACCACTCTAAAGGCCCTTGAAGAGGCAAAGAATGAGGTCAGAATATAACCTTAGTTTTATCATAAGTTTTTTCTTTCTAATATGATACTATATTCTGTTGTCTTGGTGCAGAGACTCTGGTTTAAGACTAATCTTAAGCTTTGCAAAATTTGGTTTGATATGGGCGAATATGGGCGAATGAGCAAGGTAATATGTCTGTTTGGATGATACCTTTTAGTATCATATTATGCTGATTGTGATCCTGAGAGTAACCTGTGTTGAAATATTAGATTTTGAAGGAACTCCATAAATCTTGTCAAAAAGAAGATGGTACCGATGACCAAAAGAAGGGAAGTCAACTTCTAGAGGTTTATGCTATTGAAATTCAAATGTACACCGAGACTAAAAATAACAAAAAAGCTCAAGGTAAGAATCTTCAATTAATGACATGCATGTTAAAACTCTGTAGTTTGCTCTTTACTCTCTGTCATATGCATTTTTTTGCCAATCTGTGATGTAGGACTCAGATTAATTAAAGAACAAAGATAGAAATAGTAAATAAATTATTAATTCCAACATTGGTGATACTTATCACTGATGGAGGACAAATAATAACAAACTTCAAAAGAAATTTCATTATTTACTTAAGTTTGAGTTGGTCAACTTTGGTTTTCAGGTGTTATTTCATGTACATTCAGGTGTTATTTGATATACCCTTTTTTTCCAATTTCGCAACTGTTCAAAAGTGTAATGTCGGGCCAAGCACCGCTTGCATATATAAAACAAAATTTATATAGTCAAACATTTGCATGCACAATTTTGAAAGATCGTGTTTGTATGCGTCATGATCATTAGTCAATATTATCAACAATTATGATTATAAAAGTTTATCATGATGGTGTAACAACATATACGTATTGCTTAAGGGGGATGTATCCCATTTAAAGTATAAGGGAAGAAAGCCTCACCATAAATGAATTCTAACGAGAGAATATAGTTTACCTTGTGTGCCAGATTTTGTAAAAGGCTAACAATGCCACCTTACCATTGTCCTTGTAGTGAATAATTCATCAAGAAATGTATTTTTCATTATTATCTGTGTTTCTTTGTTCCGTTATGATTTGGCAACATCTGACTCTAGATTGAATGCAGCAATTATACCGAAAAGCTCTTGCAATCAAGTCAGCCATACCTCATCCTAGGATCATGGGAATAATTCGAGAGTGTGGGGGTAAGATGCATATGGCAGAGCGTCAGTGGGCAGATGCAGCCACAGATTTTTTTGAAGCCTTTAAGAACTATGATGAAGCTGGGAACCAGAGGCGTATACAATGCTTAAAGTATGCTCTCTAGTGGACTGTCTCTCTCTCATGTGTATGTGTGTATAGAGTGTTGATAGTTTTAAAGTAGAGGTCAAGCTATTAATTCTTTGCACTATAATCTACGAGGTGTGTGAAACTTAGATTGTAAGGTTTAATAATGATGAATATATGCCAGCTCAACCATGAATCAGACTTGATGTCTTAATATGTACGAAATTTATGGAGACATGGTCCAATGTATTACTATTTGGATAATAAATACCATAATTGGGATGTAAGATGATGAATCTTTATGCCAAGGGTATGTTTGACATTGTCGACAAATAAGTGTTTTTAAGGCATAAAAATGTACTATCCAATTCGAAGCATGTTTTGATGTGTCTCAGACAGGTGCGTGGGTCTGGATGTGCATATAATTTTTTAGTGTTATATGATAAGAACCTTGAATCACAAAATGATGAAAACTCCTTCGGTTAAAATCATCCTCTGTGTTTGTGTTTCTTAATTGCATGACTAAAAATCCTTAGGTTGGTATAGTGCAGCCATCCATGAGTTGATTTGAACTGGGTTATACAACAGATTTAGTTTATGGAAGTATTACGAAGGGGTTTACTAAATTGTCCATATTCAATGTGCATTGCTTGACAGGTACTTGGTTCTGGCAAATATGCTGATGGAGTCGGAAGTTAATCCATTTGATGGTCAAGAAGCAAAGCCGTAAGTATGCAATATTGTTCTATTTATTTCAAGTTTTTGCATCTCCCTTTGTTCTTATAATTTCTCTTCCACGGGTATAAAAATGATCCCGAGATCTTGGCAATGACAAATCTGATTGCAGCATATCAACGGAATGAGATATTGGAGTTTGAGAAGATTCTTAAGGTATTATTCTCCAATAAACTGATGTTACGTTTATTTATCCTAGGTGTTTCTGTGTTGCTTTCAAGTTTCTGTTGTCTATTTCTTCCCTGAGTTGAGTTGGTATCTGTACACCCTCAGAGTAATAGGAGGACAATTATGGATGATCCATTCATTCGAAACTATATTGAAGATCTGCTGAAGAATGTTAGGACACAAGTGCTGCTCAAACTAATGAAGCCGTACACGAGAATTCGGTTCCCTTCATATCAAAGGTGATCCATAGGTTCTGTCCTGTTGTATTTGTTTTCCATTGCATTTTTGTGCTTGTCTAATTTTTTACTCTTTGCAAATACTTGATGGGTTTTATTTTATATTTTAATTTAAATGTGTATTTCCAATATGGCCTGTAAACTTACCATTATGAATTTGTAATTTGTGAGCTTCCTCATATCACCTGTTGATGTTCAGGAACTTAATGTGCCGGAGAAAGATGTGGAGCAACTCTTGGTTTCACTTATATTGGATAACAGAATTGATGGACATATTGATCAGGTGAATCGGCTCTTAGAGCGTGGCGACAAGTATGTTTGCTTGACTTACACTTTTTTAATACTTAATCCATGCATACTTCCTTCACGGTAGATGTCAATGCTTTCTCTTATCGATTACCACTGATTAATCCACACACATTGTGTAGGTCAAAGGGAATGAAGAAGTATGCTGCTGTAGATAAATGGAACACTCAGCTAAGGTCTCTTTACCAGACTATCAGTAACCGAGTATATTGAGAGTCGCATATATCGCTTATGATCTCTGGACTGTGCCTTATGTAATGGCTGAGTTGAGGTCCAACTTTTACCCCTTTTGGAGGACAAAATGCTGGATGAGCTATGAATAGACGTGATTTTTGAGCTTGATAGTTTCATGTATAAGCTGATTTATTGAGTAGTATATTCTCAAGTATTTTGGAGTAAGTAGAACCATTTTTTGACATTCAATTGTGTCACATTGTTGGTAGGCAGTGCTTAGGAGGGTTGTTTAATGGTGCTGCTGCGTCGTCACTTTGAAATCAGCTATGGGTTCTCTTTGGAGAAAATTATTCCACACTACGAAGCATTGGATGGTCTAGATTGGTTTGGATTATGGGTCCAATTGTGGTCCTCTGAATCCAGCCATCTAATGCTCGTAGCATTTAATGTTACGGGGTGGAACCACACTTTTTGGTACATGCTTGCAGCTGGTTTTTCGGTTCCAATTCTTGAAATTCATCGACAAGTTCAAAATTACTTGGAATTTGAATTAAAAATATGTAAAATTGTAGCAACGGTCTCCTATTAATTGGAAATTTTGACAAATAGTCAATTTCGGAGGCACTAATTGAATTTTAGCCAAACTTTCCAATATCTTATAATTCTAACAAAAAACTAGAGTAAAAAGTCTTAATGGCCCTTATTGCTAATCCTCTCCATTGGCTTTTTGACAGTGCGGAAAAACCAACCAACGCGTAGAACATCCATATCTTATGTAACCCTGTGGTTCGAAACTGAGAGGTGTATGTTGAATTGCCACCGCCACCATCAACCATCCATTGAATCCAATCCTTAGCCATCATAGCACTCACCTCCACCACATCATCATTGCTACAGCAGTTTGGTCTCACCTCTGTGCCGCTAGCATCATCTACTAGTAGTAGTATTCATGCTACTAGGTATCTTCGTTTCCTTGTTAAATATATATTCTGGTTATATCACGCCATCCACCAGCTTTACCAATTTTGTTCAGTATATTGGCCGAATACTTAACCTTGCCTCTCGGCTATTTCTTGATATGAAACGTAAACCAGCACCTCCCTTAGATTTCTAGCACTGCGGAATGGTCCAATAAAGGATGAGAAAACGGTCGTTGCCGACCTAGGACCAATGCTTGCTGTCCTACTATCTTAACAATCGTAGCGGCTCAAGCTTGTGAGAAAGGAGAGAGCAAGAGAAAGACGGAGAGGATTCGTATTATTAAGGATAATTATAACTTTTTATCTGAGTTTTTTTGTTAGAATTATAAGAAGTTAGAAAGCTTGGCTAAAATTCAATTCATGCCTCTAAAATTGGCTCATTTTCCAAATTTTCCCTATTAAATATTAATAACATGAGTTTATTTTTCGTCCTTGTACTCTAATAATAGTTTCTCACGTTCTCTAATTTTGTCATTTTTTGCACTAGTAGTCATTTTCGTTAACTCCGTCAACTTTTCTGTTAAGTGATAAAATAGAAATTTCATCTACAAAATGAATTTTTAGAGATAAAACATGTCTACTCAAGGATTATGTAGAAACTCCTCTGTAAAATACGTGACCTATTTGTTTCGTGCTTATGGTAGGAACTCCTTAAGGATTGAATAAACGATCGTGGTGATTTATAATATGAACGGTGCTAATCCTAAGCACAAAATTCTATGAATTAGCCATGAAGTATTTTGAGGAGGAACTCCTTAACCTTAAGGAGCCAAGCTCTTCTCTTTTTAAAATAAATTAGATTTCTTTTATGTAAAAAGACCACTATATCCTTAAATTTGATAGAAGAAGACAGATTTGGCGGAAGGACCACTCATGCAACGCAAAGGTAAGTTGGAAGACATGAGAAACTAATATGAGAGTTTAGGAACAGAAACAAAACATGGGCTAAAGTTCAAGGACTTTAGCTACTAAACACCCTAAAAATAAAACACTTTTTCTTATTGGAATAATACACAAACTTATTATTATTTGCCACTCAGTACTATGGTCTGGTGGTATTCCTCTTCACTTGAAAGTGAGAGGTCTTAGGTTGGAATCTCGTAAACGGCGAATTCGATACCAAATTAGATTGCCCATTGTGTGGCTTATCCAAACTCCCCTTCCCCGTAGTGTAAAAAATATCAATGCACTAAAAAAAAAAAAATACACAAACTTATAAAATGAGGCAAAGATTCATACACCTATTTTTCAGTAAATGTAAGGAATTTTAAAATGATTCCATTTTTTTTTTGTTCATAAGAAAATATGTTCATATTTACTTAACTCAACAATGGGGATTATTCTCATAAAATTAAAAAAAAATTGGCTTAATATGATGCAAAATTTTGACATCTAAGCACCTAAGACCATTTTCAAAGGGTAAGATATGCCAAATAGGACTAAAATACATTCATTTGTTCTTCAATGGAGATGTCCATAAACTGAGTTATTTGACTCTTTACTTTCCTAGTTGTCTTTTTATTTTCTTCTTTTATAGCAACAAAGGAGTCAAATATATTTAATTTATTTTTAATGCATGGATCCCAGTGTTAACCAATAGAATAAAAACAACAACAAACTTTAATTTTTTTAGTAGTTAATGTAGCTATGGAGCCCAATATAATAATAAAATAAAAATTTGACCCATCCATTAGACAAGAAAAAGATTTAACATTTGTATCCAATGTCACACAGTCATCAAATAAATTTTAACATATTATATTTGATATCTCATTTGGAGATACTCTAACAATTAAAGTTTATATTCCAACATTCAAACTTGCGGTTAAATAAATAAATAGAATTAATATTACAACTCCAAACCACCAAACAACGATGGCAATCTATTTTAAACTAAGGCTTTGTTGACCCTAACAACTACCAAACCTACGTGGCGCGCAGGCCGAGTAATCTATAAGCTAACTACGTCCTTCGGTGAATGCGGGGCGTGCCAACTCATCGGCCGAGGAGTAAATTTGTTGATGTTGCGTTGGGTGCGCGACTGACTTCTGCGTCTTGCGATTGCGACCGAGGAAGGAACACGTCTAGGCCTCTTGGGTTCTCGAACCTGAAGACAAGGCTACTATTCTTACGAAGTTCACAAATCGCCGTCGTCGGATTCTGTCACAGTGATGTTATTTGTCAGAGTAAACTCACGCCGAATCGACACCAAAGTGTAAGGGCACAAATACTCAAAGCTAATATAAGTCTTGATAGTAAACGTGGTTCGGCCGTCTGAATGCCGAACTCTAAATCCCACTTGAGAGTATCCAATCATAAAATCACTTGGCGTGCAATGCACCGAGTTCAGTAAACTGTAACACCTCACTTCGCCGAAAAGGCTAATGAGATGACCTCAGTCAATAAGGATTCGGAAATCCTTCTCGACCGAGACTTGGATAGGTAACCAACCGTCCTCGCCGCAATGCTGTTGATGCCAACGGAAGATGTTGCGAGACCGACTGATTCTACGGCAACAGAGCTATCTATGCCGACTTAAGATGTCACCGGTTGCTTTCATAGTGCTGTTGATGCCAACGGAAGATGTGTCAGCGAAAAGAGAAAATAAAAATCTCAAAGTTGTTGAGAGAGTTTGCGCAGGGCAGTTATGTGTTGAATTGGAGAGGCTTGAATGATGCACAACCTCCTCTATTTATAGCACCGGATACCTTCAAGGTTGAGTTAAAACCCTACCCGGATTAGGACTCATTCTCCTGATCAAACACCAACCCGACCAGTCCTACTTTCACCATAATTGTGAACCTATTCCTTTATTGAGCCAGATTCACTTCCGGGTTATTGATCTTGCCGAGACTCCTCATTGCACCAAGATTCAACTCGTCTTGCGGCATGGCATAACCGACCTGGATTTGGAAGCCCACGACCTAACTGGTCCAGAACTAACCGATCCCTGAGAACTGAACCCTATCGTAAGGCCTTCTGGGTCGAAAATAATTCTATACTCGGCCCATACTAATATTTTGGGCCCAAACATTGCCCCCTCGCTTCTGAGGTCCTCGGCCTAAACCCTCTGGTAGAGCTCCGGCTTTGAAGAAGCGAAACTAAAACTCAAAATTCAAATGCTCTTATTCCCGAGGCGCATTTATTGAGCACGATTGCACGATCTTGATCCTGCTAACCACCACACTACGGGGCATCCTTTTATATGTCTAATCCCTAATAATGACGTTTGAAGCGTGCGGCTCCCTGAACCGTCATATCATCATAGCCTTGTTGCTGAACACCACCATGCCGCCTCGATCTGTGAACCATTCAGCATCGTGCAGACGCCAAACCGTCTTTCACCATAAATCTCGCCGCCACACGCAGTCGTGCGTCTCCCGAAACACGAAACCCTCGGTCTTCTCAACTGGATTTTCTAAATGTTCGTAATGATTAGCGAATTTCTCGGTTGATTTTACCATTCATCTTGAATTTTGAACGATTGCCCTTCCCTCCACCGTTCTATAAATACCGAAATTCTCTCATTTGTACTTTACGCCTTCAAATTTTCTGAATTTTCTTGCCATTGCTTTCCAGTGCATCTCTTCCTTCCAGGTCTTCGTCTTTAATCTTTAACCTAGAAAGTTCTTTTCTTGTCATCCCTTCAAATCATTCACCATGGCATCCTTTATCTCCAAGCTTTCTAAGGAGTGTGACCAATGCCAGAAAATCATCGATCGGAGTTCAATCAAGACCATCCGATTTGAGAGTGACATGAGTACCCCTCATCAAATCTTGGGTCCTCTCTTTAAGGCGGCAGTACCATCAACCATCACCGGACTTTTCCAGGAGCACTACCTGTCGCCTTTGCTACAAGGGTTTGAATGGCCGAAGTGGGATGTGGCGAGGCCTTAAGGTTCTTGGCCCTCGACCACTACCACCTGGGTAGCCTGGGTTGTACGAATGGAAAAGTTCATCGGCGAGCAGTGGAAAGTCTTCGGTATTTACGATGCCATTCACCTCTCGTCTATGGAGGTCATCCTGGACAAGGAGCTCCTCTTTGCGGCCATATGCTTCTGGTGTTTGGCCATCAACACCATGGTCATCCCTCTTAGCCCCATTGGCCCCACCATCCTTGATCTCACTGCCATCTTGGGGACTTCCCCGACTCGAATCCCAGTCAACGCTGCCCTCTCTGGGTACCCGTCGAACCTTAACTTGAGGACGCTCTTCGACAAACGGGCCCTTGAGACGCTAAGCGGTGAAGGCCAAATACCCTCGAAAGAAGAGGTTCACAAGCTTCTCAAGAACTTCTTCAACTATAACACCCTTTATCTCTATTTTACCGGCCGGGGAGAAGAGGCTCTGCGAGAAGGAGAACACGAGGCTTTCCTCTTCTATTGGTACAACAAATTTATCTGTTGTACCAAATCTAACAAGTGTCTGGTCGAGAATATGCCAGTGGCCGAGACCCTAGCTAGCGGTCACACTTTAGCCCTCAGCCTTGCCATTCTT